TAGGCTGAGGATCACATGGTGTGCCAGTGCCTTGGACTAATTGTTTCCATGCATCTTTGGTTTCCTTCATTCTTCTTTGCTCTGGACAAGGAGAGACCATCATTGCATCTAGCTGGCTGAATCTTTACAGAAGTCGATTGCCCCATCTTACTTCCACAGAATGGCTGGTGGGTTTGAATACCCAACTTTCTAGTTAGCAGTCTAATGCCTTAGGCACTGCACCACCAGATAGATCATTGTTAAAGGAGCACATGCTTGGGCCAGACACTCTTTGCTGTCACCCTTCCGTTTTCACTGGGGGTGAAGTGTTCCCAGGTGGAGCGTGCTGAGCCTTGCATGTGCTGCAGGAGGAGGCAGGCATCTGAGAATTTGAAAACTGCCAGGCTTTTCTGCCTTCTCACTGCAGAAAGACGGGGTTTCCCAGTCTGCATTGCTGCTGAGAGAGTGAGAGAGGCAGAGGTGCAGGCAACCTCTGCATGCACTGTGGGGTTCATTTCACTGACTCGGATTCCAAGATGGCTGTGTTCTCCCCTTAAAAAAGTCATAAAGAGTTGCCATGGAGTCAGTTCCAATTCATGGTGACCCCCATGTGTCAGAGTAGAACTGTTTCCTAGAGTTTTCAATGTCTGTGACTTGTCAGAAGGAGATGGCCAGGCCTTTCTTCCAAGGCACCTCTGGGTGGATGCAGATCTCTGACCTTTTGGTTACTCCAGTGCTTAACTGTTTGAGGGACTCCTTTTGCTTTTGATGAAATCCATGTCCCATTGTTCCTGGAGAGAATCTGAGGGAATACAAACAGTTGGGGCCTGGACACAACCAGACTCGGGTTAAAATCCTACTTCTATCGTTACCCACTCTCAGCCAGGCCACTTCTCTTCTTTGAGCCCCAGTTTCCTCCTCTGTAAAAAGGGGGGAAGGAGCCCTGGTGGCACAGCTGCTAATCAAAAGGTCAGCAATTTAAACCCACCAGCCGCTCTGCAGGAGAAATATGTGGCAGTCTGCTTCCGTAAAGATTACAGCCTTGGAAACCTTATAGGGCACTTCTATCCTGTCCTATAGGATTGCTATGAGTCAAAATTGACTCAGGGACAATGGGGTTTTTTTAAAGGAGCTGGGAGAATAAAAAACTCCAGCATCTTTTCTGTAGGACTTTGGAAAAGCCAGTTCATCTCTCCCAGCCTGAATGGTTTCCTGTACAAATGTGACTATGTGTGACTGGAACTCTTTTGGTTGCAAAACAACCAAAAATACAGAGACCATATTGGTTTCCTATGGCTGCTGTAAGAAATCACTACAAACCGGGTGGACTAGAACAACACACCGCTATGACCTTAAAGTTCAGGAGGTCGGAAGCCCTACAATCCAGGTGTTGGCAGCACTGTGTTCACTGTAATGGCTCTGGGAAGAGAAGCTATTTCCTTCCCTTTTCCAGCTTCTAGAGGCTCCTGATGTCCCTGGGTGACTCAAATGGTTTGCCCACAGCTACTAACCACTAACCTGAAGGTTAATGGTTCAAACCTACCCAGCAATACCATGCAAGAAAGTCCTGGCAATCTACTTCTGTAAAGATTACAGGCAATCAATCAGCCATCTAGATGCTACAATGGGTCTCTCCTCGTCCAAAGCAAAGAAAAATGAAGAAAACCAAAGACACTTGGAAACAATTAGTCCAAGAGGCTGGTAGACCATGAGATCCTCAGTCTATATGACCATGAAATCAGAAGAACTAGATGGTGCCCAGCTACCACTGTCAACCACTCAGAAGGGGATTAGTGCAAGAGATCCTGGACAGAGTAAGAGAATAATGTGAAACAAAACTCAAAATCATAAAAAAAAAAAAAAAAGACCAGAGTTACTGGTCTGATAGAGCCTGGTGGAACCACTGAGACTATGGCCCCTAGTTATCTTTCAGGTCTGGACCTGAACTCACTCCTGTGGCTTCCAGCCAAATGATAGGCATACAGGGTGAACACTGACATCAGGTGGATACACTCCTTGGAGAGGTCAATTATGGAAGAACAGGAGGGCAGTTGGTGGGGGGAGTGCATGGGAGGGAAGGACACAGGGAAGAGGTAACTCTGGGGAGGAAGTGGGAAGAGAGCTGTTGCATTGTGGGGAATTGCAGTCAATGTCATGAAACAAAATGTTTCATGCCTGGTGGAATGAAACCATTAACCTTCAGTATGAACTGCTATATGGAAAATGAATTTGCTCTGTAAACTTTGACCCAAATCACAATAAAAATTTTTATGAAAAGGATTACAAGCAAGAAAACCCTATGGAGCACAGTTCTAGTCTGTTGTACACGGAGTCTGAGTCAACAACAAGGGGTTTTTGGCTTAGAGGCTGCCTGTAGTCCTTGGTTCCTGACCCCTTCCTGCTTCTTTAAGGCAGCAGCGTGGCGTCTTCAAATCTCTTTCTCTCCCTCTCTGACCTCTGCTTTCCGTCATCACATCTCCTCTCTGACTCTGACCCTCGTCCCTCCCTTCTGTCTCACTGAGCCTACCCAGATAGTCCAGAATAATCTCTCCTTAAATAACCAAGACTTGTAACTTAATCGCAGCTGCAAAGCCCCTTTTGCCAGATAAGGTAGCATGTTCTCAGGTTCCAGGGATTAGGTTGTAGGTATCTCTTGGGGGAAGGGAGGCTGTTACGCCCACCACAGAAGCCGGCTTGAGCTAGCATCAAAGGTGAAGAGATATTACCAAAGTCTACAAAACTGCACAGAACCTTCTTTGAGGCCCTGACCCATAACAGCCCTTCAGTTAATAGTTGTTGAGTGAAAGAATGAAGGAACAAAACATGATCATATAAATGAGCCCACGGGCAGAGACACAGCAGTTCTCAGGGCCAAACTAGACCACACACTGGAAAGCCATGGAGACCTCTCCTTCTACCGTGCCTGCTCTGCTCTGCACGCCAGCCTGGGTCTCTCTTCAAAGACGGCTCCTTCCACTCCTCAGGTCCTGGGTCAGGGGTACATTGCTCCCCTCACTGCTTCTGAAAACCACAACCAAACTCACTGCCATCAAGTTGATTCTGACTCATAGTGACCCCCTTTGGGTTTTTGAGGCAGTAAGTCTTCCAGGAAGTAGATGGCCCAGTCTTCCTTCTGCGGAGTGGCCGATGTGTGCAGTCAAATGCCTTAGGCACTACACCACCAGAGCTCACTGCTCCTGAGTGTGGTAGAATTCAAGGATCTGTCAAAAGGAAAAATCCCATCAATGAGTCAGTTACAGTGAACAGGGTTCATTGAGTGAGAAGCTTTTGGGCACCAAGGCGCTGGCTCATGCAGCACCAGGGCAGGGTTGTTAAAGGCACTTAAAGCACTTCCAGTGAGACGGGTCTTAGACATGTTCTTAAATGAAGAAAGGGTCTTACAAAGCAAGGGTCTTTCAGATCTAGTTCTATAGATCAGATTGTCTGATGGGAACTGGCTGTGTCTGGCACAGCGGGCCAAACATCCTTCAATGTCAGGTTGCCTTTCTGGGAAAGTCCCTATGAGTAGCACACTTTGAAAACTCCCAGTTGTTTTGCCACCATAGACACCTGGCACAAGTAGCCTTTTCGATGTATTGTTCTCAGAAAGCTATTGCCCCTAATATCTAATGCCACCCCAACAGTCATTTCATGAGGAACCTGTACATAGACCAAGAGGCTGTCATTCAAACAAAATCACAGGATACTGCATGGTTTAAAATCAGGAAGGGAGTGTGTCAGGGTTGTAGCCTTTCACCATACTTGTTCAATCTGTATGCTGAGCAAATAATCCAAGAAGCTGGACTATCTGAAGAAGAACATGGCATCAGGATTGGAGGAAGACTCATTAACAACCTGAGATACGCAGACAACACAACTTTGCTCACTGAAAGTGAGGATGACTTGGAGCACTGACTGATGAAGATTAAAGACTACAGTCTGCAGTATGGATTACACCTCAACATAAAGAAACAAAAATCCTCACAATAGGATGAATAAGAAGCATCACAATAAATGGAGAAAAGATGGAAGTTGTCAAAGACTTCATATTACTTGGTTCTACAATCAACGCCAATGGAAGCAGCAGTCAGGACATCAAAAGACGCATTGCTTTGGGCAAACCTGTTACAAAAGACCTCCTTCAAGTGCTGAAGAGCAAAGATATCTCCTTGAAGACTAAGATGTGCCTAACCCAAGCCATAGTATTTTCAATTGCCTCATATGTATGTGAGAGCTGGCCAATGAATAAAGAAGACCGAAGAAGAGTTGATACTTTTGAGATGTGGTGTTGGTGAAGAATGCTTAAGTACCATGGACTGCTAAAAGAACTAACAAGTCTGTCCTGAACAAACTGCAGCCAGAATGCTCCTTGGAAGCGAGAATGACCAGATTTTGTCTCACCTACTTTGTTCATGTTGTTAGAGGAGAGCATTCTCTGGAGAAGGATGTCATGCTTGGTCAAGTAGAGGGTAAATGAAAGAGGGGAAGGCCCTCACCAGGATGGATTGACACAGTGGCTGCAGTGAAGGGCTCAGGTATAGTAGGGATCATGGGGTTGACACAGGACCAGGCAGTGTTCCATTCTGTTATGCATAAGGTCACTATGAGTGGGAGATGAGTCCGTGGCACCTAACAACAACAATGTTCTTTTCCTCCCTCACCTTCTGTCTTCCTCTTTCCCTCCCTCCCTATCTCCCTCTATCTCTATCACACACTCATTCACACAGTTCTAACACCAAATTCCCAAGGAAGCACTCTGATTGGCCCAGCTTGAAACAAGTGTCCACTCTGGTCCAATCGCTGTGGACAGTGGTGAAGTCACATGGCACAAAATGCCTGCAATGGCCAGGCCATCACTGTCATCACGGATGGGTGGGGCACATTCACTGTAGTCTGATAAGCTCTCCAGAGGGGAGTGGCGAGTACTCAGCAGTCTGGCTCAGAGAAAGTGCTTGGCAGAGAGGAAGGACCTTGCTTCTGTGTCAGCTCTCATGCCTTCTTCCCACTGCTTCTACCCACAGGCCACGGAGGAGCGCTTGAAGAAGGAATCCAGCCACAGCCTCCAGATCCAGCACCAGACACACCGGCTGGAGCTGCAGGCCCTGGAGGAAAAGGCACGGCAAGAGCTCCAGGGGGAGCGTGAGAGGATGCAGGCCCAGCAGACTCTGCTGCTAGGTAATCTCCACCGCACCCCAACCACACCCCAACTACCCAGACCAGGAGCCTGACCTCTGGGCACACCCAGCACCAGGGGCCAGCGGAGGGCAGGATGCTGTGCAGGGCTCTGGAGACACCCAGGCCAGGCTCTGGAGTGAGACCTGGGCCTGGTTACTCTGCACCTCGTTTTCCCCTTCTATAAAATGGGGTTACAGTCACCTCTCCTGATAGGGTTATTGTGCAGATTAGGTGAGGTACTTAAATATAAAGTGCTAGCATAAACACTCACTACTGACCAAAAGGCTGGCAATTCGAGCCCACCCAGAGATCCTTCAGAAGGCTTGGTGAGGCGCTTCTGAAAGGTCACAGTCTTGAAAACCCTGTGGCCTGCAGTCCTAGCTGGACACCCCTGGTGACCCACCAGCAGCTATGGGCACAGATGTCCTTGTCACCCCTTCCCTGGCTCCTCTGACCCCATGGAAGTCTTAGTCTTTCCTGGCAACTCTGGAGAGGAGAGATCCGGGACACAGGTTGGGATCTCAGGGCCAGGCCCAGGGAAAAGGAACTTTGCGGACTATGTAATGATGCCAAAGCATAGCCTTGGTGGGCAGGTCAGTGGGTAGGCCGAGAGAGAGCACCTCCCACGATGCCAGGGCCACAGTAGAGACTCCAGGTCCCCCTGCTCCTGTTCCATGTGTGTTAGACACAGGTGATCTGCAGCATAGCTCAGCATAGGGCTGCCATAACGAAGTACCACAGACAGTATATTGACAGAGAACTTCCAGAAATGCAAGGTGGATTCAGAAGAGGATGTGGAATGAGAGATAGCATTGCTGATGTCAGATGTGTCTTAGCTGAAAGCAAAGAATATCAGAAAGATGGTTGCTTATGTTTTACTGCCTATGCAAAAGCATTTGATTATGTGGATCATAACAATTGTGGATAACATTGAGAAGAATGGGAATTCCAGAACACTTAATTGTGCTCATGAGGAACTTGTACATAGACCAGGAGACTGTCATTCAAACAGAACAAGGGGACACTGCATGGTTTAAAACCAAAAAGGAAGTGCATCAAGGTTGTGTCCTTTTACCATACATATTCAATCTGTATACTGAACAAATAATCCAAGAAGCTGGACTTTATGAAGAAGAACATGGCATCAGGATTGGAGGAAGACTCATTAATAACCTACATTATGCAGATGACACAACTTTGCTGAAAGTGAGTGTGGTAGTTAAGTTTGTGTGTCAACTTGGCTAGGCCTGGTTGAGTGGCTGGGCAGCTGGATGTAGTATTGCTCATGATGAGATTGGTAATCAACTCCATGGTAGAATCTACTGTGAGCAGCTGAGTAGCTGCCTTTGGGTATGTGGTCTGCTTCCCGTGTATAAGAAACAACTTTGGGAATGGTCTCTAGCTTATGGCACGCTTGAACTCTGCATGTAGCTGTGTTGTTCAGTAGCCTGCCATGCTCTGCCGACCTTGGGACTTTCAATGGACTTGAATGAATGACCTGCCATGTGGTTTGGTAACATCAGGACTGCCTTTTCAGTTGTCCACCTTGGACTTGTCAGCCTCAGCAGCCAGCAGCTGTCTGAGTGAAGTAAAGCCTCCAGCTTCAGTGGGCCGGGAGCAGGAGGCAGAGCTGAAGGCCAAGGCTAAGGGGCTTTCACCCAGCCCCTAGCACCTGGCACTATGTAACCAGAACAGTGAGGATGACTTGAAGCACTTACTGATGAAGAATGAAGACTACAGTCTGCAGTATGGATTACACCTCAATATAAAGAAAATAAAAATCCTCACAATGGGACCAATAAGCAGCATCATGATAAATGGAGAAAAGATTGAAGTTGTCAAAGACTTCATATTACTTGGTTCTACAATCAACACCAATGGAAGCAGCAGTCAAAATAGCAGATGTCATATAGCATTGGGCAAATCTGCTGCAAGGGACCTCTTTCAAGTGCTGAAGAGCAGAGATGTTTCCTTGAAGACTAAGGTGTGCTTGACACAAGCCATTGTATTTTCAATTGCCTGATATGCATGTGAGAGCTGGACAATGAAAAAGGAAGACCGAAGAAGAGTTGATGCTTTTTGCGTTGTGGTGCTGGCGAAGAATTCTGAAAGTACTGTGGACTGCTAAAAGAACTAACAGATCTGTCCTGGAGGAAGTGCAGCCAGAATGCTCCTTGGAACCGAGAATGGCCAGACTTCGTCTCACCTGCTTTGGTCATGTTGTCAGAAGGGACCATTCCCTGGAGAAGGATGTCATGCTTGGGAAAGGGGAGGGACAACAAAAAAAGGAAAAGGCCCTCAACGAGATGGGTTGACACAGTGGCCGCAACGATGGGTTGAGGTACAGCAAGGATCGTGGGGCTGGCACAGGACTGGACAGTGTTTCGTTCTGCTCTACACGAAGTTGCTGTGAGTTGGAGATGACTTGATGGCACCTAACAACAACAACAACAACAACAACAGACTGTATGGCTTGAAACAACAGACATTTCTCCCTCATTGTTCTGGAGCCTTAGACGTCTGAACTCATGTGTCTAAAGGGCCTTGCTCTCTCAAAGTCTCTAGGGGAGACTGTTCCATGCCCTCCTCTCATCTTCTGCTGTTGCCGGTAGCCCCGGCTGGTTTTTACCTTGGAGATGCATCTCTGCCTTTGTCTTCACATGGCATTCTCTCTTGTCCCTGTCTCTGTGTCTATTCTCTTTTAAGGACACCTGTCATTAGGGATTTACTCCAATATACTCCATCCTACTCCACCATAACCTCATGTTAATTCCACCTGCAAACACCCTGTTTCCTCATATGATCACATTCTGAGGTTCTAGAAGGACATGGATTTGGGGGAACACCATTGACCACTTGGCCGGTGCAGGGTGGGGCGGGTCTGTGTCCTCCGGCATACCTGGTGCCCTGGGGCTGGGGCTCAAGTCGTGCTTACAGGGTAGACAGATAGATAGGTGTCAGAGGCTCTGAGAGAGAGTGTGTAAATAAATTAATGCGCTATACTGTAGTTCACACTTTGTTAAAGGGTTTTATTTTACTTATTTTTGTAATGAAGATTTTTTACAAATAGGGTGTATTTCGGTTTTGCTCAGTACATGGTAGCTGTGACTAGTATTACCTTGGGATAAGTTTATGGGAACTCAAGCCAAAGCTTTCTGCACCTGCCCACCCCACCCCACCCCATAGACTGTTGTCCCTACAGGACAGACACCAGCCCTGACCACCTCTCTGACCTTTTCCTCTTCTCTGTCCAGAGTCCCTCAGGCAGGAACTGTTTGATCAGCGAGCTGCCTGCTCCGAGCACCAGAAGGACTTGGCAGCATTGCAGGCCCAGCTGAGAGCTCTGGGCAGCTCGGGCCAACAGCAGACCAGTAGCCGGCCCACAGGGGACAGTGAGGACCAAGCCCTCCCCACAGAGGTCAGTGCCCTGCCCACACCACACCCTTCTCAGAGCAGTGTCAAGGCTGCAGTGAGGAGCCCCAAGATAATAGGTTCTGGGGGCCCTACCTTTCCCATCTAGAACGATGGAGACCCCTCTCCAGCCACATTTCTGCCTAAACGGAAGGCACTCTCTTCCTTCCAATGGTATAGGGACACTTGGGAGGCCTGCAGGCTCACATGTTTGAGAAGCAAAAAGCAGGTTTTATGCTGCATGTCACTCGTAATTTGGTTAGGATGGCCTCTCAGGGGCATGTGTGTCAGGAGGCAGCTGGTCTGGGTCACTCGTTGGAATCTGCAGGGCATTTCTCAAAACACCTCCCAGAGGGGTCTGTGTAGGAGATTCTGGATAGAGTGGGAGAACAATGTGGAACAAAACTCAAAATCATGAAAAAAAAAGACCAGGTTTGCTGATCTGACATAGCCTGGTGAAGCCCCTGAGACTGTGGCCCCTAGCTGCCCTTCAGCTCTGGAATTGAATTCATTCCTGTGGCTTCCAGCCAAACAACAGACAGGCATATGGGCTGAATATTTACATCAGGTAGATATACTCCTTGGAGAGATCAATCATGGGCGAACAGAAGGGCAGTGTGTGCACAGGGAGACCACTGTTGGGGGGGGCTGGGCAGGAGTGCACAGGAGAGAAGGACACAGGGAAGAGATAACTATGGGGAGGAAGTAAGAAGAGAGCTGTTACATTGTGGGGAATTGCAGTGAATGTCATGAGACCAAAGGTGTATGCACTGCTATATGGAAAATGAATTTGCTCTGTAAACTTTCACCCAAATCACAATAAAAATGAAAAAAGAAAAAAACACTTGCCAACCCTAGTCCCAGTCCAGACCTCCCTCTTCCCATGAATGGGAGCAGCCTTGCCATCACCAGCCTGGCCCAGCTCTCCTGGAACCTCCCCCCTGGGCCCGTGTGTGATCCCGCCTCTCGCTGGGGTCCCCGTAGCCTCCTGACTGCCCAGGCTTCTCCCTCCAGGCCAGTGGTCCAGCCTTCAGGGTCCATCTAAAACACAACCTCTTAGTGCAAAGTCTGCGGGCCAAAGGCAGGGAAGCCCAGTTTGCTCGTTTAGATTTAAGCCGTACTCTTGGCTCACTCGATAGCAAATAACAACAACAACAACTTGGCTCACCACGTTATTAAACCTTTTCAGGGCTTGGTTTGGCCATTTCTCAAAACAGGAGACATTTAGGATTAGGTGTGAGCCCCCCAGTCCCGAGCCAGGGCCTGCCGTGGGCTCCAGGCTGACACAGCATAGGTCTCCATCTCTGCCCCAGCCACCTGTGGCCTTGTGGGCCTTGCCTGCCCTTGTGCCTCCGGAAAACCCATCTCTCCCTGTTTCCTTTTGAGGAGCAAGGCGAGCCCAGCCGGGCCAGCTCTCCCACAGGCCCCTTCGAGGAGGGGCTGAGCAAGGGGTGCGGACTCTGGGAGGAGAACTTGCAGCTCAAGGACACGGTGCAGAGGCTGAGGGCTGAAGTGGAACAGCACCGGCAGGAGGCCCTACAGCTTCGTGACCAGCTCAGGTTGGTCTGGGAACCTCCCGTCCCTCCTTCCTCCTTCTCTCTCCCTCCTTCCCGTCCTCTTTTCCTCCCTCCTCCTCCCACTTGCCCCTTGGGGGGGCCTCTGGAATCTACTCTGTGTCTCCCTGTCAGCATCCTCCCAGGGAAAAGATCCCCTAAGATACTAGCTTTTCACTGATGTGCGTCCTTTGGCCCCCATGAAAGTTCCAGTCCCCTAGGAATTCTAGGAGCTCTGGTGGCGCAATGGTGTTAAGTACCAGTGGTCGATGATTTGAACCTACAGCAGCTCAGTGGGAAAAAATCCTGGCAGTCTGCTCCATAGAGACTACAGCCAAGAAAACCCTATAGGACAGTCCTCCTCTGTACCACATGGAGTTGCTATGAGTCAGAATCAATTTGGCCCCGACAACAACAGGAATCTGAGATCTCAAAACTGCAGAGGATTTCTCCTGAAACAGAAAACCCATTGCTGCGGAGTTGATTCCAACTCAAAGCGACCCTGAAAGTAGAACAGCCCCATAGGGTTTCCAAGGTGCAATCTTTATAGAAGCAGACTGCCTCATATTTCTTGACTGGTGGGTTTGAACCACCAACTTTTTGGTTAACAGCTGAATGCCTTAACCACTGTGCCACCAGCACTCCTTAGAATCTCCTAATTAGGATGCAGTGAAATGTATGCAGGGCACATAGCAGGGTCCCTGACATGGAGAAAGCACCCAGGAGATTGGGGCCATCACTACTGAAGATTTGTTAAACAAGGATGGCTGGGCTCTACCAGTTGCAGCTGCCGTTGGTTGAGTTTACTCCAACTCACAGTGACCTCGTAAATCAGAGTAGAGCTGTGCTCCCATAGGATGTTCAGTGGCTGATTTTGGAAACTAGATCACCAGGCTTTTCTTCCATGGTACCTCTGGGTGCATTTGAACCTCCCACCTTGTCATTGGCAGCCAAGTGCATTAACCACTTGCACCAGCCAGGGGCCTCGTACACTGTGTTGTTGTTAGGTGCCATCAAGTCGGCTCTGACTCATAGCAACCCTGTGTACAACAGAACGAAAGACTGCCCGATCCCATGCCAGCCTCACAATCCCTGTATATCTGAGCCCATCATTGCAGCCACTGTGTCTGTCCATCTTGTTGAGGGCCTTCGCCTTCTTTGTTGACCCTCCACTTTACCAAGCATGACATCCTTCTCTACGAATAGTCCCTTCTGACAACATGACCAAAGAAGGAGAGACGAAGTCTGGGCATTATTGCTTCCAAGGAAGCACTTCCTCCAGGACAGATTGGTTAGTCCTTCTAACAGACCACAGTACTCTTAGCATTCTCCAACATCACAACTCAAAAGAGTCGGCTCTTCTTTGGTCTTCCTTATTCATTGTCCAGCTCTCACATGCATAAGAGGCGATTGAAAATACCATGGCTTGGTTTAGGCGCACCTTAGTCTTCAAAGAGACATCTTTGCTCTTCAGCACTTTAAAGAGGATTTTTGCATCAGATTTTCCCAGGGTAATACATCATCTGTTATCTTGACTGCTGCTTCCATGGGTATTGATTATGGAAACAAGTAATGTGAAATCTCTGACAACTTCAATCTTTTCTCTATTTATTGTCATGTTGCCTATTGGTCCAGTTGTGAGGATTTTCATTTTCCTTATGTTGAGGTGTAATCCATACTCCAGACTGAATAGTCTTTACTCTTCATCAGTAAGTGCTTCAAGTCACCTTCAATTTCAGCAAGCAAAGCTGTGTCATCTGCATGCTGCAGGTTGTTAATGATTCTTCCTCCAATCCCGATGCCACACTCCTCTTCATATAGTCCAGCTTCTCAGATTATTTGCTCATCATACAGATTAAATAAGTACAGTGAAAGGATACAACCCTGATGCACTTCCTGCCTGATTTTAAACCATGCAGTATCCCCTTGTTCTGTTCCAAGGACAGCCTCCTGTTCTATATACAGGTTCTTCATGAGTTCAATTAAGTGTTCTGGAATTCCCATTCTTCTCAATATTATCCACAATATGTTAGGATCTACACAATCAAATGCTTTTGCATAGTCAATAAAACACAAGTAAACATCTTTCTGGTATTCTTTGCTTTCAGTCATGATCCATCTCACATCAACATTGATATCCCTCCTTCCACGTCCTCTTCTGAATCCAACAACCTGTATTTCTGGAAGTTCTCTGTCAATATATTGCTGCAAACGTTTCTGAATTATCTTCAGTGAGATTTTACTTGCATGTGATATTAATGATACTGTTTGATAATTTCCACATTCTGTGGGATCACTTTTCTTTGGAATGGGTACAAATATGGATCTCTTCCAGTCAGTTGGCCAGGTAGCTGTCTTCCAAATTTCTAGGCATAGCCAAGTAAGTGCCTCCAGTGGGGCATCTGTTGAAACATCTCAATGGGTATTCCATCAATTCATGGAACTTTGTTCTTCACCAATTCTTTCAGCAAAGGTTTGACTTCTTCCTTCAGTACCATTGGTTCTTGATCATATGCCACTTCCTGAAATGGATGAGCATCAACCAATTCTTATTGGTACAGTGACTCTGTGTATTCCTTCCGTCTTCTTTTGATGTTTCCCACATCATTCAATATTTTGCCCATAGAATATTTCAGTATTGCAACTCTAGGCTTGAATTTTTTCTTCAGTTCTTTCAACTTGAGAAATGCTAAGCGTGTTCTTCCCTTTTGGTTTTCTAACTCCAGGTCTTTGGACATTTAATTATAATAATTGACTCGGTCTTCTCAAGCTGCACTTTGAAATCTTCTGTTCAGGTCTTTTATCTTGTCATTTCTTCCATTTGCTTTAGCTACTCTCTGTTCAAGGGAAAGTTTCAGAGTCTCTTCTGACATCCATTTTGGTCTTTTCTTCCTTTCCTGTCTCTTTAATGACCTTTTGCTTTTTTCATGGATGATGTTCATGATGTCATCCCACAATTTCTCTGGTTTTTGGTCATTGGTGTTCAATGTGTCAAATCAATTCTTCAGATAGTCTCTAAACAGGAGGGATATTATCAAGATCATATTTTGGCTCTTGTGGACTTGTTTTAATTGTCTTCAGCTTCACCTTGAACTTGATATGAGCTGGTGATGATCTGTTCCATAGTCAGCTCCTGGGCTGTTTTGGCTGAAGATATTGAGCTCTCCATCACCTCTTTCCACAGATGCAGTCAATCTGATTCCTGTGTACTCTGTCTGGTGAAGTTCATGTGTATAGCCACTGTTTATGCTGTTGAAAAAGTGTATTTGCAATGAATAAGTCATCGGTCTTGCAAAATTCTATCGTGAGATTTCTGGCATCATTTCTATCCCCAAGGCCATACTTTCCAATTACTGGTTATTCTTATTTGTTTCCAAACTTTTGCATTCCAGTCACCAGTGATAATCAACATATGTTGATTGCATATTTGGTCAATTTCAGACTGCAGACGTTGGTAAAGATCTTCAAATTTCTCATCTTTGGCTTTGGTGGTTGATATGCAAATTTGAATAATAGTAATGTTAACTGGTCTTCCCAGTAGGCGTGTGCATATTATCCTATCACTGACAGTATTGTACCTCAGGACAGATCTTGAAACATTTTTGTGACAATGAATGCCATGCCATACCTCTTCAATTTTTCATTCCCAGCATAGTAGACCACGTGGTTGTCTGATTCAAAATGGCAAATGGTCCATTTCAGCCCACTAATGCCTAGGATATTGATCTTTATGTGTTCCATTTCATTCTTTACCACTTCCAGTTATCCTAGATTCATACTTCATACATTCCATTTTTTTATTATTAATGGACGTTTGCAGCTGTTTCTTCTCATTTTGAGTCATGCCACATCAGCAAACGGAGGTCCTGAAAGCTTTACTCCATCTACATCATTAAGTTTGACTCTACTCTGAGGTGGCAGCTCTTTCCCAGTTGTATTTTGAATGCCTTCCGACCTGAGGGGCTCATCTTCTGGCACTATATCAGACAGTGTTTCAGGGCTATTCATCAAGTTTTCCAGTAATATATCAGACAGTGTTTCACTGCTATTCATAAGGTTTCCACAGGCCATTTCTTTGAGAAGTGGATGGCCCCTTCCTCCTTCTGAGTCTGTCTTAGTCTGGGGGTTCTGCTGAAACCTGTCCACCATGAGTGACCCTGCTCATATTTGAAATACCGATGGCATGGCCTCCACCCTCACAGCAACATGCAAGACACCACAGTAAGACAAACTGACAGACGAGTGGTGGACACACTCACTAGAATAGCTTAAATGAAGATTTGCAAAATTGTGGGATGACATCAAGCATTGGTGAGGCTATAGAGCAAATGGAACTGTCATAGTTGCTACCAGGAGGGTAAATTGGTGCACTATTCAGCAGTAACTACCAAAGCTGAAAGGAGCTCTGGTGGCACAGTGCCCAAAGCATTTGACTGCTAAACAGATGGTTGGCAGTTCAAAACCACCAGCTACTCCACAGAAGGAAGATGGGCCAATCTACTTCTATAAAGATTTCCCATCTCAGAAACCCAATGGGGTTGCTAGGAGTCAGAATTGACCAAAGCTAAACACATATATACCTACAGATCCCTGTGATTTATGTCTCCCCAAAAAAAGAAACATTCAAGTCCTAACCCCTGGTACCTGTGGATGTGATCTTCTTTGGAAATAGCACCTTTGCAGATGGAGTTAGTTAAATCAACACAAGATCATACGGAGTGAGATGAGCCCTAATCCAATCTGTCTGTGTCCTTGTAAGGTTTCTCCTTTGTGCGATGCTGGGGTGGGAAGGTGCTGAGGAGATGCCATGGCAAGGTTAATCCTAGACCCCTCAACTCGGGACTCCACATTCACCAGATTCATACTCTACCCCCACCATAGCCTACCAAGCAGCATGAGGAACAGAACCTGGTGCTCAGTGAGTGAGGGCCCTGGAACCAGGACACGCCGGGGCTCTGCCACCCACAGCAGGGTGCAGACAGACTCCCATGCCCAATGCCTGGGCCCTGAGACTGGGAGAAGCCATGGCTCTTCCCAGCAAGGGGGAAGAAGAGACCCCCACCCCCACCCAGGGGGTGGATGCCCTGGACCTGGACGCCCTGTGGCTCTGCTGCCCGCAGGTTGCTGAAGGAGGGCCAGCAAAGTCAGCAGTCCCAGGAGATGGAGGCACTACGCCAGGAACACCGGAAGGAGATGCAGAACATGGTGGCTGACTTCAGCAGCACCCAGGCTCAGCTCCAGGCCCAGCTGGCGGCCCTAGAGAACGAGTAAGTGAGGCCTGGGGCCTGTAGCGAAAGGGACTGGCTGCTGTTCCATTTTATCAGAGTAACCAACTCCTCCCAGTATCGCTGGATCTTTCCTGGTTTTCTAAATGACAGTCCTGGGTCCTAGGAAGCCCGTCAGTCCCAGACGCAAACTGGGATGGTTGGTGTCTTAGTATCTAGTGCTACTACATCAAATACCACAGGTGGATGGTTTAATGAACCGAAATTCATTCTCTCACAGTCTAGAAGGTGTTTTGGTTATCTCTAGTGTTGCTCTAACAGAAAATACCACAAGTGGGTGGTTTCAACAAACAGAAATTTAGTCTCCTACAGTTTAGGAGGCTAGAAGTCTGAGGTCAAAGTGTCAACTCCAGCGGCTGGGTGAATGCCCCTTGATCTTGGTCTTCAGCTCTGCCTCTTGCTCCTGGCCCGTTGCAAACTTCTATTAACTCAGGCAGCTGCTGGCTGCTGAGGCTGACAAACCTAAGGCTGACAAGTACAGTGGCACAGCCCCATGGTTATTAAACAATACAGCAGGCCGCTAGTTCAAGTCCAGAAACAATCCGAAGATCGGCAGGGCCAGCATGACAGCCATCGAGATGAAGGCTCAACTACATGCAGGGTCCAAGCATGCTGAAAGCCCAGAGACCTTTCTCCATGCTGCCTCTTACATACTGGCAGCAGACCATACTTGTAAGGCTGGTATAGCTACTCGACTGCTCCAGTAGATCCCACCACGGAGGTGATTACCGGTCTCATCATGAGGAATAACTACATCCAGCTGCCCAGCCACTCAACCAGGCCCAACCAAGTTGACACATAACCTTAACTACCACAGGAGACTTAAAGTCTGAATTTAGGGGACCACCTCTAGGGGAAGGCACCCTCTGCATGCTCTGAGGGAAAATCCCTGTGGCAGCTTCCCTGGCCTTCTCAGCATACCTTAGAGATCCCCACACGGCATGTCTTTCCCCATTTGCTCATCACGCTTGGTAAAGTAGAGGGCCAAGGCAAAAGGGGAAGCCCCTCAGCGAGATGCACTGCCACAGTGGCTCAACGATGGGCTCCAGCAAAGCAGGGATGGTGAGGATGACACAGACCTGGCGGCGTTTGGTTCTCTTGGACACAGGGTCGCCATGAGTCGGCGCTGACTCAGCGTACCTGACAACCACCGCCTGCGTCATCTCATGTAATCTCCACAACTGTCCTTCCAGGTGGGCCCTTTTCTTCCCATTGACAGATAGAAATGGAGGCTCCCTCATGCACACATTCCTATAGTTACTCAACAAACATTGGTCAAGGGCCTTCTGTGTGCCCCACACTGTCTTAGGCTCCAGAGTAACAGCAGGAAACAGATACCATGCTGCCGTGGAGCTCCCAAATTCAAGGCAGGGATTCAGACAAGAATTCTGCAAACAAAGTAATATTTAACTTCCTATTAGGTGGTGAAAGCGCTACGAGGAAAGCAGGATCGGGGTACAGGTAGTTCCTGACTTACAATGTATTCTAGTTATGACAAGCCATACTTTCGACCTTCCATTTTTGGCGGGGTTTATGTTAATCTCATCATTAGTTACATTACTGCACTCAGCAATGCAGCATGTATTTTGCTGATGTCATCATATTTGTAAGTTTATAGGTAATGTTTCCAATCCCCAAAGGCAAATAAACTTCAGATTTATAAAAATACTGATCATAAAAGACAATGTCAGTTTTCCCCTGCATCCGAAAGTGAGCATCCCTGTGAACTCTTTCCCGAGATGGGGAAAGCAAAGACACAATCACCGGTTATTTATTCATTTACTTTCTGGGTGGAAAGATTGTTATTTTCTTACTTTTTCTTTTTCTTCATTTTTTGGCTTTTTTTTTCCAGTGAGCATGAATTTATTTAATTAATTATTACTTATTAACTTTTCCCTGTGATATGGGTGAAATTTTACACACCAGATTTGTAATAATGAAAACTATAAAAAATGAGGCATGTGCCTTGTATCAGAACCAACTTATGACAATGTCATCAGAATGGAATCCCGTCGTTAAGTTGGGGACTAGCTGTATGTGGCAAGGCTGGGCAGGAACGTCTCTGGAGAGTTGACAGTTTACCACAGCGGGCAAGGGAAGGAGCCCACTGCCTGGAGGAAGAGCATTCCAACCACAGGCCCTGAGGCCCTGCCTCCTAAACCTAATCCTAACCCTACCCCTAACCCTAACCCTACCTGACTGAAAACAGCAGGGGGTGCTATGAGGTGACTGGCTGCAGTGGAGTGAGTGAGAGGCAAGTGGTAGGGAATTAGGTCGGTGGGCTGCTGGGGGCTTGGGGCTTGGGGCCAGACCCGTCCTTGGATAGGAACAAGATGTTTGGATGTGTTCAGAATGCACTGTGAAGCTGGGGGAGACTTTGAGCAGGAGCAATGGGGTCTGATTTACAT